CATGCCAAAGTTCCCACACCTTATTCGATAGACAAGAAAAAACCGACTCACTATTTTTAGAAGAATCAAAAAACTGAGAAGGACTACTGACGGACCTAGACTCAAACTGATTTTTAGACTGTTGACTCGAAGGAACTACGGAGCTGACATTATCTTGAAGCTCTTCCAGGTGGAATATCCTCCCCTGTTTACTCCCCCTTCCGATCTGTCTCCCTGTCTTCAGGTCCTGTATAACACATCCAGAAGGTGCAAACGTAATAGAGCATCCTTGCTCAGTAAGTTGTCCAACTGAGACCAAGTTTGGAATTAAAGCAGGAACATGCAAAGTACGAGACAAGGTTATATTAGGAGTAGTGACTTTACCAATCCCTGCAACTGCCATTCTATCACCATTGGCAACTGTCAAACCCTCATGACTAATGGATTTAATATTCTTGAGAGAGTTCTTGTCATTAGTCATGTGATTATAACATCCTGAATCAATTAACCAAGGTTTGGGTTTGAGTTTACCTTGCAGAGTAGTCAATGCCGAGCCTATGGCTGTAGGAAGAGAGTGCTGTAAAGCGGCTACAGCTTGCACAAGCTGCTGAAGTTGAGAGGCAGTGACATTTCCTGATGAGGAGGCGCCACTAGAATCTCCTATTTCCGCGGCATAAGCAGGCCTAAAACCCCGGCCATTTGAACCCCGAGCAAGATAGCCACGTCCACCACCAGCTTGCTGATAATTACCGCCGAGTCTCTCGGTATTGCGCTCTGCATTGCGTTCCCTAGGACGACATTCCAAAATGATATGCCCCATTCTTTTGCAATAAACACAATAATTTCTTCTACGACAGTGTTTCACCAAATGGCCTTTCTCATGACAATGATGACACTCCAACTCGGCAGTAGGTACACGATTGTGGAATTGAGGACGTGTAACAGCATTCACTTGAGAATTTGGTCCCATACCTGTCCTTGTAGGATGCGCCGAGGCAGCAGCAAAGGTTTCGCCTTCTCCTGGGCAGACATCAAACAGGGCCTGAGCTCGGAGTCTTGTCTCTTCACGCACAAGAGTGCTGATCACTCCATCAAAAGAAATTGTCTCCCGATTCAGTATGGTGGCTCTTACGCTCTCAAACTCGGGTCGCAATTTCATGAGGAATTGCATTACACGGGACTGTTGACGTTCATCCAGCGAATCATCAGTCATGGCTTGGGGACGAAGAGACAAATAGAGCATATCTTGCTCTGTCCACAACTCTTGAGCAGCATTGAAATATTCTGTAACAGAACGATCTCCCTGTATCAGCCGAGCAAGAGCCGTCTCGACCTCAAATTGCCGAGCAGCGCTTGTTGTGGAATACAACCCCGACAGATGACGCCACATTCGGTTGGCAGTAGGGAACAAACGGAGGCTGAGGCAGGTGGTAGGATCAACGGAACCTAGCAGCCATGAGCGGATACGTGCGTCGTTCTGGTTCCAAGTCGACATCTCTTGAGGCGTTGCAGACCCAGCAGTAGGTTGCGCGATCGTGCCATCCAGGATTCCCATAAATCCTTTTCCTTCTACAAATACTCGAAACTGGAACTCCCAAAGCGCGTAGTTCGTCGAGGTGAGGCGCACGGTAGGCCTCTCAGAATCAGTTGCGGTGAGCTCTGATACCATGTTAACAAATACAGAAGCAGATTTATACGAGATGAAACTAAACGAACACAGACACCGGAGTTTACGTGGTATCCCTGGATATGATCCAGGACTAATCCACGGAAGAGCTTGGGAATGCTCTTCAGGCTACTGATTTTACTGAGATGATTTTATGATGCAGATTACAGCCGGCAGAACTCTCCTAACCCTTATATAACAATGCCCTAGGTTTAGAACAACAATGACGTCCCTAAACCGTGCATGGGCATGGGCCTTAATTAATGAATGAACCTAACACTCATCACTCTACCATCACAAGATAATCCGCAGCCCCAAGGCTCTAATACGCTAACACCGCATTCTGCAAAGGAAAATATCGTAATCTAATTACTAACCTTACGAGGAATTTTACAATGCTATATACCATTGGTGCTATAGGTTTTCGCTTTTATGGTACAACTTGAAATTGTATCTTTAACATTATGGTACAATTTAAAATTGTACCTATACATTTTGTACAAATTCTTTTATGGTACAACTTGAACTTGTACTTTTATTTGATGGTACAACTTCAAGTTGTAAAGTTATATCATAAGATAATGATACAAATTCTTTTATGGTACAACGTAAACTTATACACTTAATGTTATGGTACAACTTTAATTTGTATATTAAGACACCGATGTTATATAGCATAGTAGAAGTGACTCATAATCTTACATGTAATTTCACATATATCTCAAAGTCGAATTCTCTAGGTTCAACATAGCTCCGCCACGAACACTATGCCCAGTGAACAACATTGCGAGTCAAAAAGTCAACAGAAAAGTTGGGTAAGTAAGTACATGTATCATAAAATTTAGGTTATGACTATAGCGACTTTATTGAGACTTCAAGTCATGATGATTTGAAGTTTAGCGGACAAATATAATCGACCGATCATGGGATCTGTTCGAACAACACATCGACTATATTGTATATACTTTGTATTGTTTATAGCGGTGGATTGCAGTCTTTCATAGGTCATCCAGATTCAATAATATATGTATGTAACTATTTATATGCCGACCGTTCCGTTGAACATGTCAACTTTTTAGTTTGCATGTCGACCCAATTTTACCACCTGGCCGCCTTGTTATCCAAATCGACGGCTTCAAGAAAAGATACCAATCCAACATAACTATTGCCACACTAGCTCTAAAAAATGGGGTTAAATTTTTTTTTACTGAAGAGATCAAGGATTAATTTAAAGTTTCATGACCCTGACTGGAATGACCTAACCTTGAGCAATCCAAGGCCACGTCTAACAGCCTTTCGACCAATCCAAAATACCAGGACCAATAGTAGGACGACAACATAACAGACAGTAGGTAAAAATTAGATGGTAAATTATTTAGTACAATTCCCTTAATCCCTTTCGCTTGCATATATACAATTTCTTTTCTACTTTTCTTTCTCCCACGTTTATTATTATTTTTTCCTGGATCGGCTAATTTTATTCAATTGATCAGCTGTTGGGACATATCTAAATATAAGGTTTATATGATTGCTTTACATGTCAACCCCTTTAAATTTAAAGTCAATATATATATATATGGTCTCAAAGTTTGCATACACTTTTTTTTACATTACGTTTAAATTAACTTTTAATAGTCAAAACTTCGTGGAGATTTAAATACGAGACCGGACTTTAATTTCATTTATTCCATCAACTTGAACCATTGAGTCAGACTCAAATACGATATATGTAGTACTCTTAAATAAATTTTATGTTGACTTTGAGCCGCTGATTATGAGCTCCACTACTATGTTCATAATCATTGATATTTTTGTTTTAAATGATTTTAGTTTGTACGAATATCTTTTCTTACAAATTTGTTTATAATATAAATTTAACATGCACATCAACGTTATAATACAAATTCAATTTATAGATTGGTACAAATTCTTTGATAATATAAACAAAATTTGCACCTGTGTAAGTAATAAGTACGAGCTTTATGAAATTCCTGGCTAACTATATATCATCCATAATATCATGTCCAGTTGGCATAATAACAGGCGAAAAACAGAAAGGCAATGCATGCAACTAGCTAGCTAAGACTAGATAAGAACGCACGGCAGCAGGCGACGTAGGAAGATGGGAAATATATTATTATTATTATTATTATTATTATTATTATCCATATTAAACAACTTGCATTGTTATTAGTGGAAACTAAATGCCCACAACAGTTAATTTGGCTGTCCACAAAATAAGGAATAGCCATTAATTTCAACACATTAATCATTTTGCCGGCCGGCTGCAATGTGTTCGTTTTCTGTACCTATAATAACCTTACTTTGGTTTGGTTTGGTTTGGTTGGCTCTTTTTTCTGTGGGCATGTGTTGAAACTGTTCATCATTTCTTTGTGCGGCTGGCTATATAATGTGTGTTCGACTCTGTGTCAATAACCATGTGCGCCCATGACTCTGCCAGCGTGCCACATTTCCGTCATGCACACTCTCAGCAGCTACAACTCTTTCTGCTTCTTGTCTGGCTTCTTCTTTATTTATTTATTTATTTAATTTCGTGAAATCAGAATTCAAAGTAAGCTGAGTGTTGGAACGACAAAACTATAGTAATGTATTACGGTAATTCATCTTGAATTTTGAAGGAAAAAAAAAAAAAGAGATCGTAGTCTGCTATTTCCAGAATACTTGCTCGATGTATCTTATAACTTCATATAAAATGTTTGTAGAAGGAAGATATAGTCCTTCCTTCCTAGACTACAGTTAACCCTGACGATCTCTTATGTCACGATAAAATACACAGTATATATAAGATTTATCAATTTGAGCATATTGTGATTTATTCTTTATGGAAGGAGACCGAAGAGGAACAACATACCGTGTTAGTCATATATCTTATTGTATAGGAGGGTTTTGCTTCTCAAGAAGACACTCTTCTCGCCCTAAGCCTCTTCACCTTTTAAGAAAAAAACTCGAAGAAATTACTTCTAAAGAGCTTAGGAAACTTACACCGATGATGGTTCCAAATCTTCTCTTCGTCTTGGACCCCCTTGGCCACATTGTTGAAGACGACTACATCCTTTTTTTTTTTCAAAATTACCATGTTGCGTTGCATTTTAACCTACAATTTGTCCATCTTGAAGTTTTCGTTGTCTCGAGAATTTCGTATTAATGTGGTTGTTCAAAGTTCAAACCACAAAGTCTATATTATACTCATCAAACCAAATTCAAAAACTATACATAAAATGACAAGTTCACAACTAATTCTAAATTTCTAATGTGATATAGTTCGTACCCACGATATAATTTATTAACTAAAATAAAATTATAAACATAAACAATGGTAAAACTCCCCATTTGCTTTCATTTTCGACCCGGCCCGACCCAATAATATTCAGTAATCTAAGTCTTCCCTTCACCCAACATGTTGATCCAGTCTATTTGGTTTTGGTCTTTTTCTTTCCATTTTTTCCTACTTAACTAATGACAGTACTCACTCCTCCATTCCCTTCAGACGCTCTCTCCTTCCGTCGTATATAACCTCTCCCAAAATCCCTCTTTCCACCGAAACAAAAAACAATTCCCCAATTAATTCATCAATTTCCGCCTCCTCCGGAATCAGCGGAGAAAAATCCAATCCCCCATTCCCAACACCAACCAATGTCCCAATCCTCCCCTTTCCCCTCCTGCTTCCGCCCCTCCGCCGCCTCCGACTCCCACCACCGCCCGCCATCCCCTCCGCCCCCGCCGCCTCCTCTCTCCGGCAAGCCCAACCTCACCACCTGCTTCTACCAGACCGAGCTCGGCGTCTTCTCCCTCACCTGGTCCCGCACTTTCCTCGGCCACTCCCTCCACCTCGACCTCCTCCCCATCGACCACCACAACGGCGGCGCGTGCTCCCCACTCTCCCTCACCCACTCCATCCCCCACCGATCCGCCATCTCCTTCCACCTCCAGATCAAGCCCTTCGTCTTCTGGAAGAAGCACGGCTCCAAGGCGCTCCACACCCCCGATGGAGCCGCCGCCGCGAGGTTCCAGATCTTCTGGGATCTCTCCCGGGCCAAGTTCGGATCCGGGCCGGAGCCCCAGTCCGGGTTCTACATCGCCGTCGTGGCCGACCGGGAAATCGTCCTCCTCGTCGGGGACTTGGCCCGAGAGGCCTGCGGGAAGACGAAAGCGCGGCGGCGGCGGCGGCCGGAGAGGGCGAGCCAGTCGCTGGTTTTGAGGAGGGAGCACGTGTTTGGGAACCGGATTTACACGACGAAGGCCCGATTCGGCGGACGGAGCCGCCAGATTTCGATCGATTGCAACGTGGGGAGCGACGCCAGGCTGAGCTTCGCCGTCGAGGGGAAGCGGGTGCTCCAGATTAAGCGGCTGAAGTGGAAGTTCAGGGGGAACGAGCGGATCGAGGTGGACGGGGTTCCGATTCAGATCTCGTGGGATGTCTACAATTGGCTGTTCGAGGACGGCGGGAGCAGCGGGCACGCCGTGTTCATGTTCAGGTTCGAGAGCGAGGAAGAGGAGTACGATCGCGAGGACGAAGGGAGTGGAGCAGCGACGCCGACGGAGAAGGGCGGCGGCGGCGCCGTCGTGCCGTGGCAGCCGCAGGGGAGTAGTAGCAATTCGTCGTCGTCGTGGGGCGGGTTCGGGGTGATGAACGGGATAGAGTGGAGGAAGATGAAGAAGAGCTTGATGATGAGGACGACGGCTGCGAGGAGCTCGTCGTGGTCGTCGATTTCAATGTCGTCGGCGTCGTCGATAGGGACGAACTCGTCGGTGATGGAGTGGGCCAGCGTGGAAGAGAGCGAGTTGGGCTGTGGGCCTCACGGCTTCTCTTTGCTGGTTTACGCCTGGAAAAAGTGACGAAACAGCCCAGATTTTTTTCTTTTTACTTTTTAATTAGCGTTCACATTGATTAAAAAAAAATCGTTAATTGTGGGGCTATTTTTTTCCTACTTTTCCCCCTGTCTCTTTTTACCTTTGTTAGTTGGGTGAGAATTTTCTGACTAACCACATTTGTTTGATGAACATAGCAACGGATTGATTATAGATTGTTATTATAGTTTGGAAATCAATCATTTCCACACATCTATATTTTTTTATTTGCTTTTAGGGTTTCTCCATGGCCTTACATCATTTTGAGCAATTGAAATGACCAACTTTAAAGCCTGATTATAGCACACTTACCATTGGATCAAACCCTTTGCACTTTGGTTAGATCATCCGAACAATTATAGTTCGGTTGTTGTACATGTATCTTCACAAGTTCATCAAAGATTTTACAAACATCTCAACTTCTTGAATCGTCACTAATAATGAAATCTGATTAACAATTGTTTTCGACATTGATGTCGTCATATCGTCACGACATTGTAGAATTACCCTTTTGTCGGTGTGGCAGAGCAGAAATGGGAGGTTAGGCAGGCGACAAGGGGGCACCAAAGTAGGTAGATTGATTCCATTTGGGGTTTCATTTAGGTATTTGCTATAATATTTACTTGTCACGGAGTTAGTTTAACAAACCTGAATTAATCGCAGAAGGGCCACATGGAGCCACGGTAAGCTATCGGGCAGAGGATTCCTCCTCCATGGATGAATTTATTTATTTATTTTATTAATAAAAGAGTTGGGTTATCGATTTCAAAGGGTGGATGAGTTGTACGTACAGCAAAGATTGTTGGCGACGAAATTTCCACCCTGAAACAGGACAACATCCATGTGAATTGTGGGTCCTTCTCTTCTCCTCTATTATTATTTTCAATGGGAATTAGGAAAAATAAATAAATAGTTTGTTTAGGAGAAGGGGACATAATTAACATAATAGAGCTAAAAGATAATCCAAAGGGGTCAATCTACTATTCGGGTTGACCGGTTTGGGTTCGGTTTTGGATCGGTCGAAAAATGGCAAAAAAGATAAAGCAATCACTAATGTATAAATGGGGGAACAAAGGTTTGAAGTTTGGGGGGACAAAGGCACCAACTTTAGGACGACATTATTGTATTGGTACCCCAAAGGAAACGGCAACTGAACCCACTAATTGAATTTTTAAGAGAAAGGGTAGGAGTCCCTAGGCAGGACTTTTGTTACTGTATTTATACGGCTTACTCAAGCTTTGAGTATTGGGTTTGTGATACAAATGGTGACAAAGTTTTTGGGTATCTGATAAAATGATAAACGTTGTTTAGACTGTAATTAAAGAATCATATATATACGTATTTTGCTATCCGAAATATCAAGTCGGCTAGCTGACTCACTACAAAATATAAACATACTTCTTTGCACGGAGCAAGGTGATTGTAAAATTTAGATGGAAATATGGATGAAAAAAGAAGGAAAAACCATCTTGTTGTTCGTAGTGATACAAGTGTGATTTTTTGCTAGGTTGTAACGTTTGTGACCATTTTGTTGAATGACCAACGCTACGTGACCATTTTGATCAATTACCCCTTTAAGTATTATTTGTTTTAAGTACAATTGTATAGAATTTATTTTTGTACATTTTTATACATTTTTTATAACTTAAGTTCTTGAGATTTATCATTTTTATTTATTTTTCCATGGTATTCAAGCCTTTAATCAAGATGGTTCATTAACTTGATATAAACTCGTACTTAGCCGCATGGTAAGCATGTGCAAAATTCTAACACATGGAATGAGTTTCATTTTAGTGGTGGTACAAGGATATTATATTGTAGATTCATTATTGGACCTTTTTTTCAACTCCAATAACTCGTACTAATTAGTTTTTATACTCAACATATTATCTACATTGTTCGAAAATTGTTGAATGCATGCAGTAATAACTGTCATGGTTACGTCATTGGATGATTTACCTTTTTGATTGGCCCAATAACTCCTAGTCTCACGACTTTAAGATGTTCAATTGAAATATTTGTTAGTCATACACCCAACCACGGTTAGATCAATCTATTTCAGCAACCTAACCACCCGATTGTACTAAACGTAATGGTGAGAAAATGGAGTGGATTTATTTTGTACATTGGTAGATCCAAGTGGCAAGTAAACTTTCAAACACTCCATAAATTCATCAATTTGTTGGATATGGATTAAATGAATTTGGATTATTCGGGAATTTATTGAATTGAAATAATGAGTTGGATTCAAATTGCCTAATGTGTCTAAATAATATAGACATGCTAATCAAATTAGAAAAAGGAGGGGGGGTGGTTAGTGATTGAACACAGAGGTGAAAGGTCGTTATTGGGGTTTAGTATGACAATAATGCCACTTGTTTCTTTGTCGTCTTCTTCTTAACCTCTCACTGACCTTGTTGCTCCCAGGCACAGAAGAACAGCAAGGGGAAAAAGCCGAATGGAAGTTTGTTCATTGGTTTTGTCCAGAAGGGAAAATTAGTTGCCAAAACCAAAAACAAAGAGGAGGTTGAATTGAACCAATCAAATGTTCAAAATGCAAGCAGTCCAAAAAAAGTGTCGCATTAACAACCAGCGACTGATGAGACGAGACGATAAGTTTGTTTGCCGAAGTAAAAGGATAAGTAAGGCGATGTTTTAAAAGGTCACTTATGGGAGTAGGCATGGTCAAACGTGGGCTGGCCCGATACCAGCATCAAACGACGAAGATGTAAGATTTGCATAATAAATATGATCACAAGACATAACATTGTTTTATGTTGTTTGCGTAAGAGAATCAAGATGAATTAGTTATTATTACGGTGAGAAATGATCCTTGAACGCAAAATGCAGAGAGTGGTGATAATGTAACACAAAGTTTTTGAATGAGGATAATTGTCCTAAATTTATTGGGTATTTTGTTAGGTTATAATTTACCATGATATGATTAGCAGTTATCTCAATGAGGGGGAATGTTATTTTAATTTTTAATCGTGATAAATGGGGAGGGAGAGGTAATGTTTTACCAACTACTCTATTTTCTTAATTTTTTTTTTATGAATTTCACGTAATATTTTTTATACGTCTATAAGAGGTTAAAAGGCTTAACTATCCCTTTCCCAACAACTCGAGTTATTGGGGCCAAGTGGTTAGTTCGCTAACATGGTATCAGAGCCTAGAACCGAAAGGTCATGGTTTCGAATCCTCATAACGACCCCCATTTCATGCCAATTCGTTTAGCACAAGGAATGATATGTCCAACCTGTGCAAACTAAAGCCTCGTGGTTTGGCATCACAAGGGTTCATCCCAGCGGCGGATCCAGGGGGTGGCCACCCCGGGCCCCGGCCCAGCCCTCCTCTGGATCCATAGTTAGTATAGGCCTTATGAATTTTTCGATTTTAGATATTCGTGTCGTTGTTAATTTAAAATAAGATTGGGTATAATTAGAAAAATAATTCAGATGAACATATTCAAAATCACTACTCTAAATTTAGCTTATAAATTCTAACCCCAAAGGTTATTCGTCTAAAAAAACAATGAAACCTAAAAATTCAAAAAGTTTAAAACGTAAAAGAATAAAACATATATGAGGTTTGTTACCTTGGAAAATTTACTAGAGCAGCTGGTGGATATAGAGATGGAAACACAATGCAAATTGATTAGTAGATTGATTTGTCTAGTGTTGATGCTGCTCGTTTCAATAGCTAATATGAATAGAACCTTTTCAACAACGAAACATGTGAAAATTGATTTGCGCAACAAAATGAGCGATGGATTTCTAGTCGATTGCTCAAGTATTTTATTTAAAACAGTGTATACTATTGGTATGGATGTGGACTCCATTATTAATGCATTCGCTAAATTAAAATACCGTCGTGTACAATTTACATTGTAAAAAAATTATAATCATTATATTTTTTACTATTTTAATTTTCTAATAAAATGCGGCCCAGTGCACTTCTGTGTTCTGGATCCGCCGCTGGTTCAACCTGTGCAAACCGTAAAAATCCACAATTCGACATCGGCTTTCGTTTGAGGGGGCGTATAAGAGGTTAAAAGGCTTAACTATCCCTTTCCCAACAACTCGAGTTATTGGGGCCAAGTGATTAGTTCGCTAACAACGTCAAAATTGATAGAGCTTATAGCTACTGCTCGATTCAACCTACCTCCGCCACACGTTGGATTTCCATTTTCGTCAAGTGTGCACTTCTACTTCTAAATTTTTTTACAACTTGCTAAAGTCCACGCCGTTACTTCCCCTTCTCCTTTGGCGACTGCCCTCTTATTAAAGCGTCGAGTGCGCTTTCGTTCCAGGTGGGCTGCAGCGAGCCCCAGGCCCGAGCTCCTTTTTCGGCCATTTTCGTCGACATCTTTTACACCTCTCCACCGGCCCAGAACTCGATTTTTCCCAGCGCCAGCCCATATATACGCTTTTGCCCAACCCGCATATTTTGAGCACATTACATAACGGTTTGGGCCTTGAATGTGGTTGATTATCATTCAGACTTCTTTCCGGTAGGGGTGTACATGGTCGGTTGGTTCGGATTTAACTATTTTAATCACCCAATCCATGCACTACGGTTTGGGAATTATCAAACCCAACCCCACCCAAAAATATTTAAACCCTACGGTTTGTTTCTAATTGGGTTAGGTCGGGTTGGCGATATTTTTAAGTAAAAACCCAACCCAACATAAAATATATAATTATTATAGATCATAAAAATATTTTATAACTAATTAAAATTTCAAACGAATAAACTGAGGTGAAAGGTATCAAAATTCACAAATGTTATTTGAATTTTAATAAAATGTGATTTACTTCAACATATGTCTAGTTTTTTTACGATATTTGTTGAAATAGGCTAAAAAAGTTATAAACAAACGCATCCATAATATATTATTCTATTAAAATTGTACACAAGAAAAATGACTACGTGAATAATAACTATATTCAATTTATGTCTAAACTTTTAGTGGAAGAATGCATTAGATTAGGGAGACCATGATAGGAAAACATGGCGAAATATCTTAATTTTCTCATAAGTATGGCTATATACGACATAAATATTTTTAGATACGAACTCATACTAATAGTTGGAACACGGGTTGGGTCGGGTTCTACGGGTTGTGTAATCCAAAATCCAAACCCAACCCAAAAGAGGCGGGTTGTACAAAAGAAAACCCTCATCCAACCCAAAACCTTCGTTTTAAAGATAAATACGGGTGAATTGAATCGGGTTGGACGGGTGGGTCGGTTTGCGGGTGTGTTTGTTCACCCCTACTTTCCGGCTAGCAGGCTACGCTCACTTACTATTCGTTCTCCTAACAATTACTAAGCTTTGCCTAAAAATTTGTGTTTCCAGAATTGGACCCAAAAAGATAATGTTTAACTGTTGTAAATGTTAGTTAAATGTTAATAGAATTGTTCATGCTCTGCTCTATAATATAGAAGATTTTAAAACACACTAACTTAAAATATTAATTTATCATTGACCATATACAATTTCAAATTCATATCATCCATCATCAAAATATGTGATAAATCATTCAAACTGTCTCACAAACTAAATCATAATATTTCAATTCAAGTTATTAATTAGGGTGACAAATCAGTAATGGACTACAAAAAGCAGGCAAAGAGGTTGGGACATGAAAAGAGGAAGTATGAATAAAATATGTAATTCATCTTTGAACTTTGATGGTATTATAATGTATTCTTTTTCAATTTTTGTTGTGATTAAAATAGTGAACCAGTGGACTTATCAAATCGGGATGGTTCATCTGGTTTCAAGTTGAACCCTGAAAAGCCTTTGATCCATCACTAACCGTCCGAACAAATGAACTGGATCGCTATCGTAACCGATTTGACGATTCTCCTGTCCCAGATTTATCCAATTGGATTATATAACAATGCTAATTTTCACTTCCAGATCCATCTCTTTTTTTTGTCCAAAATATGTTAAGAGGACTCACGAAATTAAAGCGAATAAAATGATAGTTATTCTCCATCAAAATATTAATTTCATACACTTTGGCCCCCCCTATCCAATTATCATAAATCTAAAACAATCTCCAATACTAGCTTTTAATTTTCTACTTTTTTCCGAACCGAAACCCTATTTGCTACCACATCAAATTCGTAATTAACTAGCCAAGTCTGTAATAATCTTGCGTAAATCCTGCTGAAAGGTAGACACAAGAATTAATTTTGGGCTGGACCAAATCCAACTAATCCCTAAGAAGAAAGACCCTAACCCTCTGTTCTTCCCTGGTTTACCATCCATCCCTAAACCATGTCTTCAGATTGCAAAAGCCGCCGCCCGGAGAACAAGGACTGTGAAGAAGTAGGCCGGATCTCGAACTTACCCGATGAGGTCATCCACGAGATCCTCGCTCTCCTCAACTCCCCCCGGGAAGCTGCAAAAGCCAGCATACTGTCTTCAAGATGGTTTCAGCTCTGGCGATCATACCCAATCCTCGAATTCGACGATACCCAGTTCAAATCGACGCAATCGGTGAAGGGATTCGTCTCCACCGCCAGGGAGAAGTTCAGTCGCAGAAGCGACGGTACCCTAATTGCGATGAAAGCCGTCAGAATCAAGTTCAATGTTCAAAAGAAGTGGCCCTTAGAAATCTGCTCTGCTTTCCTCGATGACATGTTGGAGTTGGTTGCAAACAGATCTCACCCCACCGCAAGAGATTGATATTGCAGCCGAATTCGATAAGAACATTGGCAGAACCCTCAATTTCAACGGTACGGGGACATACAGCATCCCACGGGGCTTGTTGCTACCCAAATCCAAGCACGAATTTCGCCTCAAATTTCTCAAGTTGACCAACTGCAGTTTTGATCAGTTCCAAGGATGTCAATCTCGACATCAACCCTTTTTGTGAGCCTTGGCAGCTCCCTCCGGGGGCTTTCTCTCTCCGAACTCAGCTTCCCCGCCGGGGAAGGCGGCCTGATTCTGAATAGCATCATCGCCGGCGCCTCTTGCTTACAGTACTTGAGTCTGTACGCAATTGTGGGGACTCGGAGGCTTCGGGTTCGGAATCTCCGCAACCTGAGGAGCTTGAGGTTTCTCCAATTCCCGGTGGAGGATTTAGAGATTACAGGAGTCCCCTTCCTGGAAAACTTGTGCATGACTGGTGCGCCATTGGGAGGTGATTTTGTGGTGTCTTCGATGCCAAATCTCAGAGTACTAACGATTCACAGTGAGAAATTCAGATTGTCAAATTCTGCCCACTAAATTTAACTGTGAGTTTTATCAGTTTCATCCTTCTCTTCACAAAATCTCACTTTGTTCTGTGTTTCATTTCCAGGGGCATGCAAATTGACGGAGCAGAAGTTGGATGAACTGATTTTGAATTCCCCATTTTGGAGTCACTTTCTTTGGGAGGACTGAGGAGGTCTAGATAAAGTACGAAAATTGAATATTGTCAAGCATGACAAGCTTGGGAAAGTCGATCTGACTTGTTGGGATAGCTTGGAAGTGATTGAAATGAATGCTCCAGAACTTCATCATTTGCGATACTCGGGAAAGATGGATTTATTTATTAAAATCTTAGAAGCTAGTCAATCTCTTGTTGCACAATACCGGACTTGCGGAAGTGATGACCGCAATTTCCATAGCTTGACACTATGTTTGGCAACAAGGGAGGTGCAAGTTCGAGGGGGTACAAGTTGAGGGGTAAATTGTTGGGGGGTGCAACTTGGTGGAGGGTGTAAGTGGAGGGGTAAATTGTTGTTTGGATGAAAAAAGTAGGGGGTGCAAATAGAGTAAAAAGTAAGTAATTATATTATTATAAAATAGATTTATCAATTTATAAAATATTATCACAAAATAATAACATGAAAATTCAATATATAATAATAAAAATAATAAATAAAAATAATTTTAATAAAAATAATTATTATATAATAATGCTCAAATATAATTATTTATGACAACAATAATAATCATTGGTCGAGCAACCTCGAAACTCGAAATCCAACTCGTAACTGGTCATCCTAAGGGGGTTCTCGTGCCTAACTTTAAATTGAATATGGTCAAACTTAGTCAAACACGTTCGAATCTGTAAGTTTTAACTACTTATTAAAGTAAATCGAGTTAACTAAACTGTTCCTCTCTATCTTTTCAACAAATGCTTCTTATCTCTAATTTTCAATGCAAATTCGGGTCAACTAAGAGATATCGATTTGACGAGGCGAACATTGACAAACTTGCTCTCTTAGTCAAACGGTCAACCCCAAACAACTTCTACACTAATATAGATATAAGAAAAAATTAATAATATTAATTATTATGTAATTATAATCTAATTAAAAATTAAAAATTCCCCTCCTCCTCCTTCCCCCTCCCTTCCTTCCTTTCCTTGCACCCCAATTTGGGGGGTAAGCCGAAACAGTGAATTTACGCTCACGTTTTGCACCCCCCTACTGTTACAAAATAACCAAACGGGGGTAAACACTTTGGAACTTGTGTTTACCCCTCCAAACTTGCACCCCCTTCCATTTGCACCCCTTCCCAAACATAGTGTGAGAAAATTTATTGTGCAGCTATCACAATTTTGGTTGAGTTCGACTATTTATCAAATTATATGGTACGTTAACATATCTTTCGTGTAAGTGTGCTTCAGTACGTCATTTTTAGCTAATCTTATTGGAATATATTCAGGTTGGTATCGCTTACAAATACGTAAATGCCTACTTACACAAAATCGACACCACGTATTGAATTTTTTTGTATTATTGTTAATTGATTACTTGTTTTTTGTATTATTGTTAACTGATTACTTATTTTATAAGTGTTGCTTATTTACTATATTGTGTTATTTGCAGTGTGATTGGAAAGAAGTCCAAGAGAAGTTGCCTATCCCGAGAATTGAACATGTGAAACTCACGAATAATTTTTGTAAATTGTATGGTAATGGTGCTTTTCTTGACGGCTTATTCCAGAATTTTCATCCAAACTATTTAAGTATTGACCTAGTGGGTCTATCCTCAACATTTAACAAAGGCTTATCATTAACTCCCGAGGTATGTATGTTCTTCTATTGTTTACATAGCAAAAAAAACTCGTTTATGTTTTCCTCGTCCGACTTGAAGTCTCTACCCTTTCATTGATGGAGCCCTTAATCTTTAAGTATCACATAGGAATAGGACACGTACCTATTAGTCCAAATTCTAACTCAGAAACATAATGATATTTCGTAGATTTTCTTTAGTTACAAATCCGAGAAATATTTCATTTTATCTTTGAGCATGAGACATTAATCTTTCTCTAGTAGTTTTATCTCTACCGGTTTTATTAACTGAATAACGGAGTTGGTTCGTTTCTATTTGTCGACAGTATATATGGAAACAATTTATGGAGAGAGATTATGACAAAAATCATTGTGGAACCATATGTAAGTGTTGGTACCATCAACTCAAAGACACGAATATTATAAAGAGAGTTAGAAATGGCAAAATAATGGCAGAACATGGAGATCAAGTGATGGACATTTCAACAGACAGATATTCTCCTTTTGTCGAAACCGAAGAAATTATGTTCCTGTTGACGTGTGATTAAATTAGCGTGATTATGCTCTAGTTTTGTCGGCACTCAATTTTATTTTTACTTATTGATTTGTTTTTACAGCAAGAAAGACAAATTTCACCATCATTTTCTCATAACTAATCATATCACATTATTCTTTCTATTTTTGTTTGTCTCAATATGAATACCAAATAAAGTCTAAGAAAATAACCAAACATTGGAAATTGTCAACTTCCATAATTTCTCAAAATGACTAACTAAGCATGTTTCTGTTTTTCATTTTCATATTGTCTGTGGTCGTACCTCTATTTCACAAATGCAACCATAGTAAACAGTTCCTAATAAAACACAAGAAAGCAGGGGGGAAGATAACTTATAGACCATAGTACAAAGGCATTACTAAAAGAAACTTGGTATTCCTTTTTGTCTTACAGGCTACAGGTCACACAAACACTACAGAAAGTCGAGTTGTTCCTCAGCACAGAATATATAGTTGGTGGGAAGGGAGGAGCCTAATCTCTAATGAATCGAAAAAGGCTTGCAAATTAAGCAACCACTTCCTTCCACTTTACTTTCTGATAAGAATGCCTTTCTTAAAGAAAGGCCGTTCCTAACCTTCTTTTTGGCCCCTCAACTATGCAGACCAACTCACCATAGTTTCAGCAGGAGAGGCTTTGTCATAATTAACTGATGAACAAGAAAGATGAAAAAGTATCTTTTCCATTTGTACAAGAAACCAAAAAACCCCTCAGAAACGCTGCAACAAACAAACTTCTACAGCAGCAGTTCCCAGAATCCGCCGAGCATCATTAGAAAGCGCGGCGCGAGGATAAACATTAGAAATCTGGGTTCTTTCCCCCCCTCCATGTCTATAGGTTGATTGGATTCACTTAAGTGAAAAACCTCTGTGAGACCCTAAACATGGAAATTGAGAAAACCAGCCCTGTCCAGTTCCATTTAAGAGCATCAACACCATCAGCTCATAGGATCTTTCCAGTACGGCGTCTGATTTCGGAACCCGAGCAGTTTTTCGTCAATGTAGTTGGTGCGGTTGTGGCGGATACAAATCTACTCGAACGGCTCCTTAACTTCTTCTTCTCTACTTGCTGCGCTGTCCTGTCTTCTGACCTAACTTGCCTGACTTTAGCTCCATTCAGCTCTGCTGGAAGGACACAGTTGCATAGGAAGCCTGTAAAATTATCCAACAACCCATCAAGAGCATTAGAATATTGTTCCTGATCTGCTTTCTCTCGAAAAACTGCTCTACTTGTGATTTCTGGTTTGCTTTGTGTTGAAGAAATGCACAACAAATGAAAGCATAGGCAAATTGTTAAATATGGAGCATGATCAATGGAGCCATATCCAGTGGTACTCCCATAAAGAAAGAGAATTTCACTACTGAAAGGTCGGTCCTTGAAAAAGAAAATGAGAAACAAAAGAAACAATGTTCTTCATTCTTAGACTTCTTATCAGCACAAATGAGTAAGGAAAAGTAATCAGAGATGAAAGCTTCAAAGCAATTATGCTACAATAGATAGCAACTGAGAATAAATGTGCTCCAAACCAATGTTAACCTGCAGAGGGATATTAGCTTTCTAAACAGATACATTGCATTTTCCAGCAGTAGACAGATAAACCATTAGAATATTTCACCAGTTTCCAAAGTTCAATTGGCTCTTCAGTTGCCTCGTTCAGTTAAAAATCGGACCCCAGGAACTAGTGCACAAATGCAGAATAGGAAATTAGGTAGGTGCAAATAATTTTTTTTTACCTAAACGAGCAAGTCGGTTGACCCAGCTAGGGATTGCTTTCCCAGTTAACTTGAGACACACATCATTACAGAAGTGATTGCAGTTCTTGGTGATAAGATGGTAGGTATTCCCAGAATACTCTTGTGCCATTTTCTCCATCATTGACCGAACTTCCTTAGGACCCAGATCAGTTCTTCCGATGAGTATCGATTTCCTGAAAGTGAAACCAGGGCACTGCTTTGGTTCAACCTCAAAAATCCCCGTCGTTGAATGGTCATGAGCTCCAAAACCATATTCAACTCCATGAACTACAAACAACCCCAACCACAAATAAGACATCACAATCACCATAAAGCCCTAAACTTTTCCAGCTGATAGATCAAACCAACCGCAAAGGAAGTCAAGAACAGAACATGTTGCTCAAAAGTCACACTACAAAGTTATTGTCAAAGCTAAAATCGTGAGAAGCAGAGCTATTATTATTCAAAATGGGAAAGGCAATGAAATAGAAGGAACTTAACTACTCCAGTTGAGCTGGAATAGCCAAAAACAGAAGGAGAAAATTCAAATAAACAATTACAATCAAAATCAAAACCCTATCTAATCAGTTGACTCCATGGCTCAGCTGAAACAAAGACAACATGGACAAAGACCAACTAATTGACCCGTTAAAACCCCTTAATTTCAATTCTTCGCTGACTTTTGCGACTACTAACTAAACCAAAGATCACCCGCAGCCATTTTGACTGCTGACATGAGCAAATTAAATATTAAAAAATTTCCCACCTGACCGGAAACTTCATTCTTAATTTCTTTGCAATCGTCAAGGTTTATGAATCATCAATTCATCATCCCCACGAAAGCTAACAATTTCCTCTTTCCCCATCCCACCAGATCAAGACAACACCAAGAACCCAAACAGAACTTGCAGAAAAGAGCAGCAGATCTAAGCTAATTTACGTTACATGAACATCCGATAAAACCAAATAGCGCAAATGGGGGAAATGAAAATTTCCAACCTTGAACGCCAGAATGGTAGATGCCGAGGCCGACCCAGTAAGCGTAGCCATTCATGGGAGTCAAATCGTAAACATTCAAGTAAACCGGCACCGAACCGGTCTTCTTCTTCGGATGCAGAAGGATCATTCTACAGAACATTTTTTTCGCTCCTTTTGCCTTCCCCTGTAAATCTATCGATGGACCAAATTGCCAGAATCAACCCAGATGGAGAAAGAAATAAACTTAAGGAATTTCTTAACATGGGATTCGAAATTCGATCCGCCTAAAACCCCCCTTCCTCCAGAGAACCCGCTTTCTTCCTTTCTTTCTCTCTCTCACGCGCGATGGACAAAATTTGAGGGGTTCGAGGGAAATTCGAAGAATTTCAGGATTTTTTGTTGGTAAGGGGAATTTAAAATGATGCGGGAATTGGGAGCCGTGATCCGACTTCCAGCATATATTTTTAAAAAGGTAGGGAATAGGGATCAATTGATAGTTTCCATGGAAGGAGGCACGGAAAAGTGGCAGGCCGGCGGCGAAGTAGAGAGAGAGAGCGGGAGGAGAGAAACAGAGAGGAAACGTAAACTGAAGCCACCGGCGGAGTCTCAAAGCTTGCGGCCATCCATCATCGTTGTATTGTATTGGATTTGGCGTGCTTTTCTTCTTTCATTTCCTTGTGATTTTTTCTTAATATAATAATATTTATGGACTGGCTTTGACAGAAGGAAATGCGCTTTTTTGAGGAAGGGAGGAAAGGAAAGGGAAAGGAAAAGGAATTTGTGGGGTGGAAGCAGTGAATGCGATTGAACAGAAACCCAAAGCCATTGCTCATTTTTCTGCTTCGTCATCATTTTATTGGGTTTCTTGTCTTCATTATCAATTACCGAATGTCCGAAACCGCCATTTTTTCTTCTGGGTTCTAATCTAATCCCTTTCGTTGTTTTGGTTTTTGTTGCCGTTTCAAAGCAATCAATCTGTGACTGTGAGTGAAGGAAAATGAACCACGAATAACAGATTGTCAAGAATCGGCATTTTAAGGATAAACCACTGGGTTTAAGTTGTTTTTTATGGATTCTTTTTGTCAATATTTTGCGCAACATAGGAATTGTACAATATTCAATAGTTAGTCGACTACTAAGTACTAACTAGTAAAGTCGGCAACTTTCCCACAAAAGGACGCTTCTAAAGTGGAATTAGTGAATAAACTCCATGGTTGTCAAACCGGTTTCATGCCGGCCGGTTCAACCGGGTTCAACGGTACCGGTCAACAAACCGGCTGGAAAGGGGTCGGTATTTAACTATGGTCAAATTCGGTCAATGCCGGTCAGATCCAGAAATTCCGGCCGGTTAGACCAGAAACCGAAATTTAATGTTACACACATTATATCCAAAAATAAACATCCTCCATAAGATATGAACCAAGTACCTCATGTTCATTTTAGTTTAACTTACAAACCAATAGGCTTCAAGCAATTTTGTTGTCTATATTAATCTTATATGTTATATATCTAATACTAAATTTTACACAAATCATTATAAACATTAATAAAATTTTATTTTTAAGCATCTAATTGTTTAGTATTAGTTATCAATTCTTAGCTATAAATTATTTTGTGTGAAATAAAGTCCATGTGCTCCCTCGCTGCCCGGTGTGTTGGGGGGAGTCGGAAACAATGGAACACTTGTTTCTTGATTGTCCAGTGGCGCGTGCACTTTGGGACTACTCGGGGCTAGAACATCTTGGGCAAGGTTTGCCTCGTCAAACTTTCCCCTCTTCCTCAAAAGGTTGCTCTCCCCAATCCAGCAGCCTTCTGTTTGCTTGTCGGTGATTGCTGTCCTTTGGCGGATTTGGAAGTCAGAAACTGGGTTGTCTTTGAAGGCAAACAATTTGACTTCTCTGCCTTGATGTGCCAACTGCACCAATAATGTGAGGAATGGGAACGTTTGCCGGTAGATTGCGTAACCCCGAGTCTCGCTCCTATTCTACATCCAATAGGTCTTGGGTAGGCTGCTACGATTGTTTGTATGTGGGATGGGGCTACGCGAGCTGGTTCTCTTTCGGCTGGCGAGATGGTTATTCTTGGGCCTCATAGGGAGATCCTTATGACTCAGGAGACTCAGTTTTTGTCTATTGATGATCCGATGGTGGTTGAATTACTTGCCCTTCGAAAAGTTATCTTCTAGTGTCTGGACCATGGCTTCCTGGTCGTGAAATTTGAAGGAGATTGCCAAAAAAACAATCCCCATTTATGGTTTGGCTAAATATGAGTTGCCATTCTATATGTCGGATAAGTTCCAAGACTATCTCCAATCAAAATTCGAAGCCCAGTAGCCCACATTCTGCGGCAAAGCCCACGGAAGGGAAAGCCCACGATAATCTTAGCGCATGTTTGTTGGCTTTCGTAGATCACAACTCACAAGCAGCTGCAATCCGAGAACTGGAAAAATAGAAACCCTCAGAAACCGCCGGCGAGAACCTCAGAAATCTCATCACCGGCAATAGAGATGGCTGCCAGGTTGGTTTTGAGCTCACTCCAACGGGCTCCTCATTTTCCACCAAAGCCGACTACTGTTTCTCGTCTCTGTTCCACTCCAGAGCTTTCGCCACCGACATAGCTTCCAAGTCGCCTTCCGATGCCAACATCCTCCGAATCCTTGACAACGAGATTGAATAGCAGTACGATTACGCCCAGACGCAGCAGGTTTTACCAATCTAATCCCTTGATTTCTCTGTTTCCCTCCCTCCAATTCGTTTAGGGTTTCCGGCCAATTCAGATAGGAATCCAACTATTGGTTTTAACTTTTAACCTTTTCACCTTCGTCGCGGAAGATCGGCCGGGGTAGCTGTGGATGGCAATGACGAGGAATTTCGGCGCTTCTGAATTGAAGCTACAATGTTCGACGGGTAAGAACTTGTCTCGAAGCAAGGAGAGGATAGCTCCGGTGAGGATTTGCGGCTTTCATATAAGCTTGCTCGTCAACGTGTCTAAAATCGACCGGTGGCGGTACATTGGTGTTCGTTTGCTCGGCTTGGTGCAGTGGCCGGTTCGATTGGAGATCCAGAAACTCTATCTGCTTCTCCGTGATAAGTTGCAAGGAAGGCCATACACTGGCCCTGATTTTCGGTATGGTTTTCTTTTTTTCTCTCTTTGTATGTTTTGCACATTGTTTGTTCCTTTGTTTCATTTGGATACGAGGATCGTGTTATTCACTATTCAGAATTCATGGTGCCCACGAATTCATTAACCCCTAAATGATTCGTGCTTTGTTCAGGTCAAGAGTTTGAGTGGCGAGCTTCAGGGTAGGTTTCGACGCTTCTTGGAGGAAAGAGGGGTAAATGATAAGCTTTCGTTTTTCTTGCATGAATACATGATGAACAAAGATAGGATTGAACTGATTAAGTGGCAGCAAAGGCTGAAATCTTTTGTTGAAAACTAGGGAGCTTGTGTTGTAGTAGTCATTTGCATAGAATTCTTTAAGTGCTCTTGTTGGGCTCATAGTTAAGCTGTGTTGGGTCTAAGAGGCCCGTGTAGGCCCACGAGGAGACAGAGGCTAAGCCCAAAGGAAGGGACCGAGTCAAAGAGCGAAGCCCGAGGAGACATGGGGAAAAGAGACACCACAGGCGGCCACCCTATGAAGTGACGGGAAGTAGGCTGCCTGACATAGGAGACCGTTGGTGTCAGGAAAGTGGATCTCCCTAGGATCCTTACCTCGTACACAGCAGGACTGGGCATTTAATGCCCGCCGTAGGCGGTCCAGGTAAAGTCGAGTATGCTTAGGCCGCCTGACAAGGCATTAAATGCCTCATACCTAGGATGGCTGACTATAAATACACTAGTATCAGCATTAATGGTAACTCAACTACTCTCTCTCTATCTAAACCTAAACAACATTTCTTACTTCTCTCTCTAACTTAGGCATCGGAGAGTGTCCGGGAAACCGCCCACGGACCCTTGTTTTGCAGGAATTGGAGTACGCCCTTCATCTGGAACAGACGTCTTGCTTGCCCTGCACTCAACCGCCTGGAACATTCCAGGCCTAAACAATTTGGCGCCCACCGCGGGGCAAGAAAGACACTGAAGAAAGGATGGACGGGAGCTCCAATACTCCTGTCAAAGACATGGTCAGAGGAGATGGCTTCCGCAGCCAAGAGATCGCGGCGGGAGGTCTTCGCGGGATGGAAATGCCCATGGTGGAGGAAGAGATGGAGATGGAGGACCGCGTGAAAAGCCAAGGGCAACAGATATCAAGCATGCAAGAGAGTTTGAGCCAAATCCTGGCCATGCTTAGGGAAAAGGAAGGGGAGGCCCCAGAAAGTTCGGGGAAACGAGCAGCCAAAGGAAAAGGAAGAAAGAAAGAACCCGACAGCCCTGCTCCGACAGAAGGCGGGGAGTCAGACGAAGAAGAAAGAGCAGGAGATGACAGCCTTGGGTTCCTGGAAGAACATCTTAAGCCCACATATGGGGGCGCAAGGACCCACCACATCTTACAAAACCCACTGGCCAAAAGTCTGTTTAAAACTCAAGTACCACCGAACTTCTCATCACTCGGGCTGCCGACTTACGACGGAAGCTCTGACCCCGCCGACCACCTGAGCGCCTTCATACTGAAGATGCAGCTCATCAATGCCACAGACGCCGATCTGTGCAAAGCGTTCCCAGTCACATTTGGAGGGCACTGTCGAACCTGGTATACCTCCCTTCCCGAGGGAATAATCGAGGATTTTGAACAGTTTGCCACCCTTTCTCCTCCAAGTTTGCATCCCAGCGAAGGAGGAAGCTAACCGTCTCCGCCCTAATCAACTGCAAGCAAGGCGGAGAAGAGACGCTGGCCAATTTCTACGACCGATGGAACGCCATAGATTGTGAAGTGCAAGGGATATCGCCAAGCGTAGCAGCGGGGAACTTACGAATGTCCACACACAGCCGCGAACTGTCGAGAGCGCTCATAAAAAAAGAGCATGCACTGAGAGAGTGGCATGATCTGGACCGCTTAGTGAGAAAGGCGATCCTGCTGGAAGAGGCCATGATAATGGAGGACACCGCTAAGCATGTCAGCACGAGGGAAAGGCCGGAGAAAAAGAAAGGAGGATCGCCCAAGGGAAGAGGGCGGTCCCCAGAGAAACGCAGCTATAAGCCACGATTTTCTCACCGCGACAATCGAAGAGAAGTTTACACCGCCAGTAAAGAAGAAGAGAGAGAAAGAAGGGGCGACAACAGCAATGCGCGTCAGACGCATAGAAGGGAAGAAGACTGAAAATGGTGTGACTGGCACCAAACTCCCACCCACGACACCGCAGAGTGTCGGGAGTTCAGGGCCAGTCTGAAATACTTGGCGCCTGGAGACCTCAGAAACCGCCTGGACACACGTCCCCACCGTCAAGAAGAAAAGCAACATAGGGAGAGGTCGCCCAGCCCGAAAAGAAAGCCGCATACGCCAAGGCGCAGGAGGTCAAGGTTGCCGAGAGAAAGATCGCCAAGGAGGGAGAGATCCCCACGGCGGGAACGCCTACCACCACCACCTCGAAGATCACCTCAGCGTCAGCCCCGACTAAACGAGGATGACGTAGAAGTTATAACCATCGCAGGCGGTCGGAAGCGGCCAAGGAACGAGAGAGACCGCCTAGTTCAGTGCCTGAATGTCAATAGAGGGGAACAAGTAGACATCAGTTTCTCGCCCTCTGAGCTAGCACCCGATGAGAGCGCAGAAGATCCACTCGTTATCTCCTTAAGAACTAGGAAGTTCAAAGTCACAAGGACGTTGGTGGATAATGGAAGCTCGGCAGACATATTGTTTTACTCCACGCTAAAAAGTATGAAGATGAGCATACATGATCTGAAACCCTCGACGGCCAGCCTTGTGGGATTTTCAGGATCGAAGATCAGAGTGATGGGCATGATCGCCCTACAAATAACAATCAGAGAGGGAGACGTAACGAAGACGCGCACCATGGAATTTCATGTAGCAGATTGCCCATCAGCATACAATGCAATTCTGGGACGCGGTTTTCTATCGCTATTTTCGGCGGTCCCATCAACGTGCCACCAAATGCTCAAATTCCCCGTCGGGGGAAGAATAGGACGAGTCAAGGGAAACACGGAGCAAGCGAAAGAGTGCTATCAGGCAACGATAGAAAGCTTGGAAGTAGATTTGGTAGACACACGAGGGGGGCACCCCCGTCCAGAAGCGGTTGAGGGAGACGCAGAAGTGGTCCTCGATGACGAGGAACCTGGAAAGAAGGTAAGAATCTCTTCTCATCTGACAGAAGAGAAAGCCAGAGAGCTGTTGGCACTCCTCAAGGAATACAAAGACCTGTTCGCATGGACCTCAGAAGACATGCCAGGCGTTTCGAGAGAGCTTGCAGAGCACCACCTCACAGTGAAGAGTAAGTCGAAGCCTATCCAACAGAGGCGGCGAACGGCGTCCCTGGAAAAGCAAATGGCTTTGGAGGAAGAGGTAAGGCGGTTGCTAAAAGCCGGTTTTATTAGGGAAGTCAAGTATCCAACTTGGCTGTCAAACCCTGTTTTCGTTCGCAAGGCGTCTGGGCTATGGCGAATGTGCGTTGACTTCACAAATCTGAATGCGGCCTGCCCAAAGGACGCCTACCCACTGCCAAGGATAGACCAGCTGATTGACGCGACCGCCAACCATGAAAGCCTTAGTTTCTTGGATATGTTCTCAGGATATCACCAGATCCGCTTGTCTGAAGAGGATCAGGAAAAGACAACTTTCATGACCCACATGGGGAACTTCTGCGACACGGTCATGCCATTTGGCTTGAAGAACGCCGGGGCAACATACCAGAGAATGATTGATGCGGTTTTCAAAAACCAACTGGGAAGGAATGTCGAAACGTATGTTGACGATGTCTTGGTAAAGAGTAAGAAGGAGGCGGACCACCTGAAGGACTTGAGAGAGACTTTCGAAAGCCTGAGAAAGGAACGCTTGCGGTTGAACCCGCTGAAGTGTGTGTTTGGGGCCAAGGTAGGGAAGTTCCTAGGTTTCATGATCACCAGCAGAGGCATTGAGGCTATCCCGAAACAGATAGAAGCCATAACAAGCTTGAGACCGCCACAGACAGTCAAAGAAATCCAAGCGTTCAACGGAAAAATGGCCGCCCTAAGTCGGTTCATACCAAGGTCAGCAGACAAATGCTCCTCGTTCTTTCAAATGTTGAAGAAATCGGCGTCCCGCTCACAGTGGAGCGCCGAATGTGATAAGGCCTTCTTTCAGTTAGTGGAGCAGCTGACTTCTCCCCCTGTCCTGAGCGCCCCACTACCGGCTGAAACCCTATATCTTTACCTGGCGATCTCGGATCAAGCGGTTAGTTCGGTTTTGGTGCGGAGAGATGGTGATGACTCAGACCGCCCAGTCTACTACGTAAGCAAGGCACTTCTCCCAGCCGAGAGGAGATACATGCCTATTGAAAGAGCAGTTTTGGCGGTTGTAACAGCAGCAAGGAAGTTGCGTCCTTACTTCCAAGGGCATCAAGTCGTTGTCTTGTCGAATTTACCACTGAAGAAGATCTTGAAGGGAATGGACGTGTCCGGCAGGATGACCAAGTGGGCGGTCGAGTTAAGTGAGTATGATATTGCATACGCTCCGCGGCCGTCCATCAAGGGGCAAGTACTTGCAGACTTCGTCGCAGAAGGTTTCAGCCTGGAAAGCACTGGGGAGAAGGAGGCAGACGTGTGGCGTCTGTACGTCGATGGGGCAGCAGGAAAAGGTGGAGCGGGAGCAGGGATCGTCATCGAGACACCGGCGGGAGTGATACATGAAATCTCCCATAGATTCATGGAGTTGAAAACCAACAATGTAGCGGAGTACGAAGCGCTCCTCAGCGGGCTCAAAATTGTCATCAACATGGGCGCTTCAAACCTACACATCTACTCCGACTCACTGCTGGTAGTGAACCAAGTTCTGGAAAGCTACGAAGTAAAAGAAGAAGCCCTAGCAAAGTTGGCGGGGAAGGTCAAAGGAACCTTAGCTCAGTTAGACTCATGGAAGCTTGAGCATGTAAAGAGGGAAGATAATCACCATGCGGATGCCTTGTCAAAACTGGCAACCGCAATGGATTTTGAAGGGGAACGCAGAGTGATAGTAACGAAAGAGGCGGTCCAAGCATATGAAGTCATGGCCATCGAGGGCGAGGAAGATTGGCGGTCACCACTGGTGGATTACCTTCAGAGCGACGTTGTTCCGGAGAATGCGGTCTTGGCTAAGGCGCTTAAAAGAAAAGCGGCTCACTACACCATGGTAGAAGGGCAGCTATGCAAGAGATCTTTTTCGGGAACATATCTCAAGTGTCTAGGCCCAGAGGAAGCGAAGTGGGTGGTCAAAGAAATACATCAAGGCACCTGCGCAACACACTCAGGGCCGCGGAGCCTCGAAAGAACAATATTGCTACAAGGGTATTACTGGCCAACAGTAAAGAGGGATGCGATGGAGGCGGTTCAAAAGTGTCATGAGTGTCAGATACACGCTAGCAAGCAGCATCTGCCGAGCGAACAGCTAAAGAGCATCACAGGACCATGGCCATTTGCACAATGGGGCCTGGATCTCTTAGGTCCATTCCCCACAGCTCCTCTGGGGAAGAAGTATCTCGTGGTCGCGGTCGACTACTTCACAAAGGGGATCGAAGCAGAACCGCTAGACACAATCACGAGCGCCAAAATCCAGAAGTTCTTGTTCAACAACATAATGATCAGGTTTGGAACGCCTCACACTATCATAACTGATCATGGCACGCAGTTTGATTGCAGATCATTTCAAAACTTCTGCGCTCGGAACCGCATCCACTGCAAGATG